GGCGGGGGGGAGGGCCTCCGGGGGGGGGGCAGCCCATGCGCGCCTGGGATGCCCCGCCGCCGGCTTCCCCCGAGGCTTTCAAAGCCACGGAGGGGCTCCGGCGGCGGGGCATCCCCGGCGCGCCTGGGATGTATACCCGGCGTACAAGATGACCCCCGATTTTTGGGGGATGTTTTTTAACATCAGAGGTCGTCTTGTACGCCGGAATATACGGTAATGTGTATTTAGCTGCTAACATGTATAAAGACAGTGAAACTGTCCTCTATAATACAGGCTTGACTGCATATACTTGGTAACTTATAGTTGTAATGTAATGTGATTGTGGAACAAAAACCACCCTGCTTTTCTGATTCTTGTCACTCAGAATTGCTCTTTCTGCTCATTCCACTCCAGCCACTTAATGGTGTGTATTACCCTTTCCAATGCTACAAAAAGTGTTGCCAAATCCTGGTTCATGTGAACAACTCAGGCACTGCTCTGGTCTGTGTGGTACCTACTTGATAAGCCTATGGGGAAGGGGTTTGAAGTAGGAATGTTAAAAAGTGGGTTATTGGGCAACCATGTAACGGCTGAAATTTTCAGCCGTTACATGTACCCGCAGCACGAGGTAGCAGCCAGCGCCCTCCTGCTGATCCTGCTCCCAGGGAGCTGGCTGCTGACCCATGCTCTTTGTATCAGAGGCAGCAGGTGAACTGGTGGGAGTCTAGTTCATTGCTGAATGGTATTGTATCCTTCTAGACCCATGAACTTTGTTTTCCCGTGATCTGGTTTTTGACTGAGAAACTTCTGTTCTCATGGAACTGGTCAGTTCCCAGAACTCCTTCTCATGTAAACTCTTACTAGAAGATTTACCCAGCGTTGCTTAGGTTCTTAACTCAATCACATTTTGTTTTTTGGAAAATACAACAAGAATGTGCATGCTGCATTTAAATCATTGCACAGGGGTGGGGCTGTGGATGAGGGGACTACCCCAGCCTTCTATTACCGCAGCAGCTTGGAGCCAGGTGAGAAGTGCCTCTCCATGGCCGCCGCAGCCTCGGGCACAGCTGAGAGAGGGGTGCATGCCCCCCAGCTGAGACAAGTCCAGACTTGTCTGTCCCTTGCACTCCTGCCCTCCCTAAAGGGCACCTGTGAGGTGGGAGGCCCAGGGGAGGGGGTAGTGTTCCCTCCAAGGTGTGTGCCTGTGCGGCTGCACACACAACATTCTGAGCTCGCCCACCTCCTTTGCAGAGTCGTGCAGCAGCACTCACCTTCCTGGACCTAGAAGGTGAGTGGCGTGGCTGCTTCCACATCCGGGGCTGTGTAGTGGGTGGGGGCAGGGCCATAATGGCTGCCGCCGAGGTCGAAGCCAGGTTGAGAGGCAGCTGCTGCCGGGGCTTAAGCACATTTGGGAAGCAGTTGGGAGTTGGGGCTGTGAGGCTGGCAGGGAGAGCAGTGGGGCTGGAGGAGGCGACAGGGGTGCTAGCTGTGTAACAGGGCAGAAGATGGGGCAGGAGCTAATGCAGCTTCACAGTGGGGAGGGGGAAGAGACAGAGACAGAGTGTAATGGCTGCCATGGTGGCACACATCCAAACTAGCACACAAGACAAAACTCACTCCGCTCATGGATGGAAAATCTTAGAGGGAACACTGGAGGGGAGGGGGGGGGAAGATGTGCCCCTATCCAGGCTCTTTCACCTAACTGGTGACTCTCTCATTTCTGTATGGGTTTGAGAAGCAATCCCATTCCAGGGACTATCCCATTTTCCTGATACAAACCAAGCCCATACCTTGCTTTAAGTTGTGAAAAGAGGAAGCTGTATAGTGAATTTGGTGGTCCTAGCTCTTATGTAGGAGAAGTTCTTGAACAGACTCTCTGAAACATACTGTAGATGAGAAATCATTCACTCCTATGCTCACACCTGGCTTCCCATGCGTTCCCTGAAGTGCACGCATGTTCTGTGCGGTTCAAACACCTGTGCAATAATAACGAGAATGGTACCCATTGCCTTTGGAAAGGGCACGCTGTCTTGTAGCCAAGAAGAGCCTCCCTCTCTGCTCGCTGGGCTAAACAGCTTCTGAAAAACGGACAGGGCCATGGCTGTTGCAGTCACTCTGTAGGATGCACCTACCACCCAGCCACAGGATCGGGACCACTGCGGGGTTAGTCTGGCCGCAGTCTGATGTATCTCAACATGATCACAAATGTGGACTTAGTGTCTGTCACCTTTCAACATAGACTGTGTGTAAAGAGGGCAAATTACGTAATTAGCTCTTGTAGCTAAGAGGGTTATATGTCCAGCTGCCCGAGCCTGACTGGTTGGGGGTGGTGAGGGAATGCTGGGTTTGTTGTTTGGCATCAGAAATTACTCACTGGCCTCTTGTTAAATCTTCAGGTACTGCCTCAGCGTTTAAAATGGACCTTGACATCCAGTGCGAAGAGCTGAGTGCGTCCAGATGGACCGAGCTGGTTTTGTCCATGAACACATGCAAAACTGTCAGGTAGTACCAGCTTTTTCTAGAAGAAACCATAGAACAACGAAGTTGAATAATTTGCTAAAAGGGCAGGAGAGGGAATTG